TTCAATTGGCGAGGAATGCGAATCTACATATGTTTATGATGGTATAGTATAATATTATTAAATTGGGGGACGAGGTGACCGAGTGGTCTGACGCGTCCGCTACGACGCTGCCGGTCGCGGTTCGCTCCTCGTCCACCGGACGGCATTTTTCTCCAGACAAGTCGCGGTGACCGGAGAACAAGTGCCGCCATCCCCCAACCGGGCATGGCAGAAACCTACGGGTGCCCAATAGAAATTCTGCCAAAACAAAAACACACGTGCCCCCCCCCCCTACAGTCCCAAACCCTACAGTACCACACAACCTACAGCTAATGGCCTCAGTTGCCGAAGCTTACATAAAAAAAAATTATTAAAATAATAAATATTTTAATTAATATCTAAAACATAAAAATGCCAAAATAAAAAAAAAACTGTAAAAAATAAAAAAGAGAACAATCAAATAATAGACGACAATTTGATACATAAAACCCATAATGCCTACACATAACTGCTAAGTACATCTCTGTGTACATCATGGACTCCGTTTGCATTAACAAAACTGTTGAGATCAACTGGAAAAAATAATAAATTATCAAGTAAGTTATTTCATTTAAATATTATTAAAATATTAATTCTATTGGTATCTAAAATATATTTTTATGTCTAGCCAAATTAAAAAAAAATGAATTCATTAGCCAGTGAGAAGTTTACAATTTTAGCTGAAAAGAAGTTAGAATTGGTAGATATGCAAATTTCTTTTTTAAAAGAAAACATGAACTTAAACTTGCATCATTAGAACTATAAATCGTTAATAAAAAACAAAAGTTATGAATAGAATAATTGTCTATATGCCCTGGCTATTTTATCTACTCTGTTTCATTATTAGCGTTATATATTTATTAAATTTAATTTTTTTGTAAACTTTGTTAAAATTAATGCTAACCATGAGTTGTTATAAGTTGCATTTTTATTTTATCTAAGTCATTCTTAAATTAATTATAATCAAAATAATTTTTATAAGCTACATTTTTATTTTATTATAGTCATTGTTATTAACTACCTATGCAATATATTGTAATATTGACAAATATTAAAAGGCTCATTAATGAAATTTTTTAAAAAACTACAGTGATTATCCTCAGATGAATAACAGTAAACTATTTTAGATTAATTATAGACTTATTTTATTACAAAATTATTTATTTACATAAGTATGAAGTTTTCATTGTATTTATAATATTCACAATATGGTTAGTTTAAAAATGGAAAATATTCTTCTTTTAATTCCTTCCTTGCATTTCCTGGTTCATGATGTTCTCTTACACTAAATTCTTCATTTAGCAGTAAATTCATATTCAATAGTTAAGGTGGTTCTAAATCATTATCATCACAAGCCACGTTGTGTTAAACACAACAAGCAACTATTACAGCTTGGGTGGTTTCTAGTTTTAAGCGTGATCCAAAAGACAGGACAAGAAATCTTCGCTTTAGCACTCCGTACGATCTTTCCACTGGATTCCTGGTCCTAATAATGGATTCGTTGTACAACTCTTCAATGTCATTACTAATATTCAAGTAGGGAGTGACAACATATTGTGTATTTGCATATATACTGTCAGCCACAAGTAAACTGTTTTTCCAATAACCATTGACCAACTTATTATAAATACGTGATTTTTTGAAAATAGTTTGATCGTAGTAGTATGTGTTTGGGGAGTTTGGCTTCATTTTTACAGGGAGATGAAAAAATGATCCTTGAGCTATGTTACACAATACTTTTATAGAGCACACGTTTTTTTGATCGATGAGCTTCATGCATTGGTTTATAGGCTTGTTTTTCAAACCCAAAGACAGATGCCATACTGTTTGGAATATTTAACTTTAGTATCCCATTACATTTAATGTACGTTCTAAAATCTATGTGATCAATAGTTACATTAAAGAATAGCTGTGTTTTATATTCGTTATTAAAGTGAAATAACTCTTTTGAAATTTTATTGTTAATATCTTCTATTTCATAACATCCTTCTTCCAAAATAAATTCAAACGATTTATATTTATGTTTATTATTTGATGAAGGAATTGGAACTATCTCCAGTCGGTTATTAGTCGAATTTATATTTGGAAATGAATTACGTGTTTGTAAACATAATAAAGCTATTTCCGAATCATCGTAAACGATTAAAGACGGAAAATAATTTGTAGATAATATAGCTGTATTTCCGGTCAAACTTAATGTCACAGATTCATACATTGTAAAAATTTAAGGCATAAATGACCGCAATTAAATGTATTGAAATCTTGATAATTAGAATAGTTATATACTATTTTATACTCGTGAAAATAATGTTGTAATTCAATTGGCGGGGGTAAATCACCAAAGCTGTCAAAATATACAACTTTATCCTTATTTTTATGAAACGCTACCCAATGACTTCCTTCACCTGAAGATACATCCAAGTTTAAAATACCACATTCAATTGCAAACGGTTTTTTAGGTAAGTTATCACGTGAAAAGACACCACGGAAATGATTGATTTTTAACTTTCTAACACAATTTATAATATCTTGAGACGAAAGTGATCTGTCAGGTAGCGAATTCACTAGTTTTTTTTTCTTGATGCATTATTGACTAAATTTAAACCACTATCTTTTTTACTTTTCGAATTTTGAATCGCATTATACACATTAGCACCTCCAGATATCAAACTACCAAGTGCCGACAATCCTGCAAATATGGCATTAAGGGAATTGTACCTCCTGATTGTCCCGGTGTCAAGATCATCATTCTTTTACCAACATTTTTTTTTATCATTCTTTTTTTCTTTGCTGCTAGTATACCTTTTATTTTTATTTTTGTTACACATTTCCGCTTACCTTTACAGCGCATACGTATTTTTCTTCTAGCTTTCATTACGTTAATTACTATGTTACTATTTTTTTTTTACACTTTATCAGCTTTATGATTATCGTTTAAATTGTTGACTATTTATAAGAAAGTTTACAAGTCATTAAACAGTATTGACCGATTTACACTTGTGAGTTGAACGCATAAAATATAACTGATTACAAAGTACAAATTCTAGAGTATTTATATGAAAAAATGGATTTTACTGAACAGAAAGATAAATTAGATATTATAAATGTAGATGTTCAGTTAGTAAAAAAACCTTTAAAACATGGATCATTATTTCCTGATTCTATACGAGCTATACTAGTTGGTCCTAGTGCATCAGGAAAATCCAATATAATGTACAATCTGATCACACATGAAAACGGGTTAAGATTTGAAAATATTTATTTATACTCTAAAACCTCAAATCAGGAAAAATAATAGATGATATACAAGGTGCTAATTTTTTCATATTTACAAGTGGTGATAAAGTTATAAAACCAAACTTGAATTTATCATTATTTTATATAAACCTCAATAATTTATAGTTAATGTGATGATTTATATTTTTAATAAATTATTTATACAATTAAATTATTTGGTATTTTATTTTATTATTTTTAATTAATTTTCGTTTCGGATCTGATGAAAATCGACCCAATATATCCCGTACAACGTCATTCATTTTGATTGCAATATTTGTATCTTCTGTATCCCGATTCATAGTGTACAATTTTATACTGGCCTTCGCATGTTTCCATCTAGTATAAAAAAAATTATTTAATATTCATAATAATATTATGTTTATTTATTTAATCATGTTATAGTCAAATATCAACAATTCAATCCTTGAGCTCATTATTTTAATTAGAAATTTCATTCACTCGTGATGCATAATGTTAGGTGTAGGTTAATTTCTAATAATGAATCTGTCAGGTAATACATTTCTGCATTGATGATATTTAACTATGTATTATATATTTAATCATAGTTTTTTTTTTTTTTTTACTAACCTTTCAGCTGACGGAATATCTTCAATCGTTTTGACTTTGTAGTGTTGAATAACCCAGTAGTTCTCACGGCTCACACTTTGGTGCAATAGGACACTGGAAAGTAAATGAATTATTTCCCTCCATCATTGTTAAAGAATTGCTTGCGTTATTTTCAAAACTTCCTTTCGAAATTAATTCGGCAAAAATATCCTTGTATGATTCTGTGTGCTAATATATAGAATAAAGTTACATTTCAATTTATATTTAAAGAGTGTGATGTGTGTATGTGTGTGTGTACGTGAGTGTAATATTGAAGAAATAATATAATATTAATTATTACCTTTCCTGCTGTCTTTGTCTTTTTGATATTGGCTTTTTTTTCTACATCATTTTTTCTTTTATTACTGCTTGCTTTGACAGGTTTTGCGATAGATATACTTTCAATTTCATGCTATTATTTAATAAAATTACAATACCTACTATTAATATAATAATTATCAAATAATGATTTGTATTACACACACACACACATACATAGGTATTATACTGCACTACTGTACAAACATACTTACATCTTCGTTTGAAGAGCTTCGGCAGATGCATTTGTATAGTAAGACATTGTGTTTTTTTTATAACTTAAATAAAAAAATGTTAAAGATGTTAGATTTTTAATATATCAGATTTTTTTTTTTTAAATAATTACCTGATCAAATGTATTTCTACGGTGTGAAGCTACAACACACACAGTCCTAGTGAATACAATGTAGAGATTTAACACTAACTATAATCATTGTCTGCTGGGTGATTATATACAGAGTAAAAAGCTATAAATAAAATAAATGTAGTGTCGTCATTTTGTTTTTAGGCTTTTCACATTTGTGTTTAGAGGTCGTTTGTTCTGATGTACTATGATAATCATTGATTTGTATCAATTTTTATTTTGCATAATTGCTAATTTTTCTATACACAATATTACTAATTCTTTATAAAAAACATAAAGTCCTAAGTTCGGTATTAGTACAGCATCACAGAACATCACGCCATCGGATCACACCACTAATATCTATATCTTATTGGCAAGTTTTGAACTAGTAAGGTACAATACGTAAATCATCTTATCCATAATCACTTTAAATTCTATATAATTGTATTACTATTTTGCATAGAACCTTATAGTTTGTCAGAATATCGTCTAGCGTACTTGTGTGGTCGCGGACTTTATTACAGTTTCATCGTCGCTTGCACACGACTGTCTTCCTAGTTTTTGTAAGTCATACAAAATTCAATAATAATTTATACTTAGTTAAATAATCAGTTAATTGTGTCAATTCATTTTTAACTATTTTACGTCTTAACGTACTTTGTTCGGTGATTCGTGCAGTAATCAAGTGGTTATACCACAACATGTAAGTTATGTATAAAATAAAAATATAATTGATTATAAATAAATATGATCTTTAAATTATCAAATTTCAGTGAAATATAAATCAGATGATTTAATATACTAAATTAAATATATCGAAGTAATACTAATGTTGTAATTAAATGATGTAAATTTGCAGGGAAAAAACGAGAAATACAATAATTATAATCGATTTTGAATTCACCAACTATCAACGTACCGACTTAATACTTATTTCTGCAGCTATATCACAGACTCACATAAAATCTAAAATTATACGCATGCGAGGTCGACCTTTAATAATATCACCTGACGGAAGAATACAATTAATGAATAATTATTCATATATAAAAACTA